GAAAAGCTGAGAACCGGCTGTCCAGGGGGGTCCCTTTAAGCTCGAGCCTCAGATAGCCTCAGACAGCAGCCACACAAAGCAACTACTGACCTGATGCCCTGCCAGAACCGGTTTCAGCTGCCCTTAAATGCCCCCCTGCATCCAATCAGTGTGGACGCGCTAGTTCGAATTAGCAAAACGCTAATTCGAACTAGTTTTTAGTTCTAGATGCGCTAGTTCGAATTAGCTTAGTTCGAATTAACTAATTCGAACTAAGTTAGTTCGAATTAGCGCTGTAGTGTAGACGTACCCAGTGCTATGAGCATGGGATATGTATATGCCATATCTTGGAGTCCCTTTTTAATTCCCACACAAATTAAATTAGCCTGGCTTTTGTGTGGGAGGGGTGAATTTCACCAACAAACCATTACCATGTCATATTCACTGGTGTTTTACTCATTTCTTCAGTACATTTGGATGTATGCAATGTCATGCTGGTGATTTATTGCTCTTGAATTTATCTGGATGTGCACACCATACCATCAATAGCCTGATTTTATTTTCACTGAATTCAATAGCAAAACTCTGTTTGGCTACAAAGGGAGCAAGATTAGGCTTTTAATGAACATACAAAGTCCTGCCAAAGTCATTTTCTCTTCAGTTTTTATCTGAGAGAAAAATAATTGAACACTTATTTTTACTTTTACAATTAATAACAACAATATTTAGCGATGTTACCTGATGGTTCTATTGCAGATAAAGAAAACAAGCAAAATTAACTGAAGAAAAAGGAGTTTGATTTTTGTGAAGTACTTAGCCATCTGTGACACTCTTCTTTTAAGGTGATGAGCATTTAATGTATAATGTGTATTCTGACTGAATTTCTCTTTTTTTTTTTTTTGTCTGCCTCTGGGTATATGAAAATAGGTTGTGTTTATGAACATGTTAGGTCAAGTCTACACTAGGAAACTATTTCAAAATTACTAAATTCGACTTAAGAACTCCCATTTTAACAAATTCAAACTAGCATGTCCTCACCACAGGAAAGCATCAAAATTAGTCTAAAGCAGGGGCTTAATTCACGTTGACATGCAACTTCAGACTTAGAGCCCCAGGAAGCACTCTGGGTAGCTGGGGAAGGCCTCCCAGAGGCCAATAAGTTTGAATTAGTGGCACCGGAGCATCCACATTAATATTATTTAAAAATTACTATTTCAGAATTAACATTACTCCTTGTGTAAAGTAGGAGTACAGAATTCAAATTCCATGGCCTGTTATTTTGAAATAATGGGTTTAGTACTGTGGACACACCACTTACTTGTACATTCAAACTTGGGAGGGGGGTTATTTTGGAATAAGGTGCTAGTGTAGACCGGGGCTAAGTGTACACACAGGTTAAGGTGTTTAAAAGTGTTAAACACTGTCCAAACTAGTATTTAAAATATATGAGTTAAAATGCATTGGCTAGCACATTACAGTATCTTCCTCATTGTTATCAGGTCCCCAGAGGTCACCCCAAGTCTGGGTGCCCTCCCCGTCCTGTGACTAACCGCCTGTCCGCGGTCCTATCAGTAAGCGCTGCCGGCCCGTGCTCCGATGGGCCTGAGGGGGCCGGGAAGGGGGCTCGGGCCCTCTTTTTCCGAAAGAGCTCTTTCGGAAAAAAAGGCACATGTAGATGGGGAAGAGGGAGTTTTTTTCGAAAGAAGAGGAAAAAGGAAAAAGCACAGGTGCCATGGTGGACACTCTGTCCATAGTAATCACACCTTAAATGCAAGATAGCATCCATTCAGTGTAGATGCTATCTTTCGAAAAAGCAGATTACTTTTTCAATGAGCTTTAGCTATGTGGACGCTCTCTTTCTGAAGAAGTTTTTTTGGAAGAGCCCTTCCAGAAAAGCTTCTTTCAAAAGAAGGCTGCAGTTTAGATGTAGACCCAGACACTAAGCCAATGGAGCGTCTGGGTTCCCCTCTGCTCTCTTCTCCTTGTGGGGGTCTGTCCACCTCGCTGCCCCTGGTGTTCCCCTGGCCGGGTCCCTTGCCCTTTTGAACTCCCCGCCCGAGCGTTAGGGTGGGCCTTCCCCCGGCGCCTGTGGTCCCGCCCTCCTGGGCGTCCTGCTTGCTGCTTCTCATGACATCATCCAGCCGTGCCGGAGCATCCTCGCGGCCGCTTGCCCTCTCTCTTTCTGTCTGATTAGCTGTTTGTCTGCTCAGCGCGCTAGTCTGGATGCTCCCGCGCCAACCTGAAAGCCCTTTATCGACCTCCCCGTTATGTCTCGTAGGATGAGGTTTACCGGGGAGATCGATAAAGGGCTTTCATGTCGGCGCGGGAGCGTCTAGATTAGCGCGTTGAATTGACAAACAGCTGATCAGCTGTTTGTCGGCTCGGCGCGGCAGCCATTTAACTTTAAATGAAGCCACAATTACCGTCACACTCATATAGACATGCCCTAAGAAATGAATTGATATTCTTAGACCCCAAACTGCTGCACACAGATAGTACCCATACAAGCATATCAATATCAGAATATTTGAGGCATTTCCTTGAAATGGTTTCTCCAACATCTAAGTGCTTCTGATTTTAAAGGACATAAGTTCAATCATAGTACCCAAATAAGATGATGTATTGTGTGTCATTTATCATTATGAAGTACCTAAAGCAGTTAGAAAATCCCGCTGCAAAACAAGAGGACTTCAGAACAGTTTCTAGTATAATCCTCTTCTGGTGAAGCTTTTGATTCTAAGTTCAGAACATTTTTACCTCTGTTTACTGCCTACATGACTCATTATAAGTGCCTTATAAATAGATTTTAAAAAACAAATAAATATTTATAATTTTATTTTGTTTAATACTTTTTTCATGCTCCCTGTTTATCTTGTTTGTGTCTTTACTTTAAAACCCTAATATAATCACCAGCCAGTGATAGACATATCAATTAATTACATGTAGTTCAGTATCATCAGTGTGTAGTTTGGGTTTAACTATCTTCCTTTTAAATCTGTGGTCTGGGAAGAGACAGGAATCTTTAAGTGTTTACTGAAAAGAATGGATACTACTTCTAAAATCATTTATGAGGGGAAGAATTGCTTCAGAAACTCAGGCTGTGGTTAATATTTGGAACTCTGTTTCTTCAATTATGTTTCTTGGAGAAATGCCACAGAGGATTTTAATGTGTTTTGGAAAAATAAAGACTTAGCGCCAAAGCATGTATTCACAGCCAGCTGAAGCACATCTGGGACCACCTACATATCCATTCTATAGCACTTCCACCCGCATCCTCATGAAATAATGTAACCCTTCCTTTTAAATGAAATTGTTAAAGAGGTGTAGTGTTAGAGGCAAGCAGGAGTGAGGCCCTGGCAGAGACGGAAGATATAGTTCAGGGCTGGGAAGTAGACAGCATGCAAACATAAGCAATCAGGTAGTTCATAGATTATAGATTTCAAGGCCACAAGGGAATACTAGGATCATCTCATCTGATCTTCTAACACTGGCTGCAAGAGTGTCAAGTTCAACAGAAAAATAATCTCTCAGTACTCCTTCTCAGGATTCATATTAGCCCTTTTGGCCACAGTGTCACACAGGGCGCTCATGTTCAGCTGATTATTCACCCCAAATCTTTTTCGGGGTCACTGGTTCCTAGCATAGAGCCCCCCTCATGTAAGCATGTAAGCATGGCCTACAGTCTTAATGCTTAAATGTATAGGTTTATATATAGTAGTATTCAAATTCATATTGTTTGTGGATAGAAGTTTATCATGCAATCCAGATTGCTATCAGGAAAAGATGAAACCTGTAGCAGTGGCATAAACTAGCCTAGTGTAAATTTTAAAAAAATCTATTTGTTTTCATTATAATGCACAATTTATGAGCACTCATCACAAGTTTCTAGGAACCCTAGGTAATATCTTTTAAAATACACTTCCTGAAATAGAAGGCTGATAATGAAAATGGAAGAAGGCTGATGATGAAATAGAAGAGCGAAGAAAGGAATATGGGGATGTTATGGGGAAGGTTGGGGACAAGAAAGACAAGGGTCTAGTCAGGATTGGGGCAAGGATCAGGAGGATAATAAGGAAGTTCAAGGCTGTGCAAGGTACTGGATGGACACTAAGGTTGTGGGGCGGTGTACGGGTGTCCCCCGTGCAGAGGGGCTTACGTCCGCCCCCCTCGGTTCCTGCGGCCGTTGGTGACCAGATGCGCCTGGCTTTGCTCGGCTCAGCTCAGCCGGTTGGGGGAAGGGGCTCCGGACCCCGACCCAGGGCCCTAAGGTCAGGGAAAGGTTCCCCACCTACCTCCCCCACTCTCAGGGTCCACGTCCCCGCCCTGGGCCACTTCTTCCCCCAAGTTAAATCGTTTTACCCCCGGGCCCACACTCTGGTCCCGCCCAGGGTCTCCAGTACCTGGATCTGTTCACTTGCTCCCGGGAGGGATCCGTCTCCTCGGCGTCCCCCCTGCTTGCTGGTCCCCTGCGACCTTTTGAACTGCCCACCCGTCGCAGGCAGATGACATCACCCCCCTCGTCGGCCTCCAGCCCCCCCTCGGGCCGGCCTCCCCGTGACATCATTTCCCCTGCCTCCTTCCCCCGCCCCTTGACGGCGTCGTCTGCCGGCCCCGGCTCATCACCCGGCCGGCGCGCCGGCCCTCCCGCTCGGGGAAGACAGACGGCTCTGCAAGCCGCACTGGGGGGGGAGCTTCTCCCCCGCGATCGCG